ATTTTTTAATTAAAGCAGCATTGTGAGGCCGATTATCACCTACGTCTCCAATGTCTGGTATAATAAGGCCAACCAAAAGACGACTGTGTACAGACTAAATAGTCTACAAAGCACTGCCTGGTTAATGGTAACTGAAGCGATGCGATCATCGCCTACAGCAGCTCTTAAAGCAATTCTGTGCCTAACGCCCCTTGATCTTTATTTAAACCAGGAGGCGAGAGCTAGTTTATATAGGATTAACGCCCAGGGCGGTCTAAGCTTGCTTTCCTAAAAATTGAGATCCATGCTCGTTCAAATAATGGTATAATAATTCTGGTCTTATGCATGATCTCAGATATCATGCGTCCACTACACATTTTTAATACAAAGTATATAGTAGAACTATCCTCCAGAGAAGACTAGCTGAATGGACAGGTTATATATAGTTTGTTTGAGGTCGGTAGCCTTAAAGGCTACCGACCTCAAACAAACTCTGATAGTTAAGCAGCACTGCTAGCGCTGAGATCAAACTTAGTGAACTCGAAGCTAGTTGGAGACTGCGTGATCTGTCTAAACGCCTTGGGATGTAAAAACAGGGTCGTTTTAAGATGGGTTCCACGCCACGCGGGTGTTGTAGGCAATGAACTTGCCGATGAGCTTGCACGGGAGGGCATAAATAGCACACAACTTGGGACTAAGTCATTTTGTAGAATCTCAAAAGCCTAGCCCGATTGATGCTTGAAACTCTTTCTTACAATAAATCATTTATGATCTGCATACACCAGGCTTAAAACATTTTAAAATCTTAATCCGGACTTTTGATCGTAAATTCGCTTCAGAAGCCCTGGGATTAGGTATAAATAAACTGAGCTTTCTGGCAAGATGTGTGTTGTGTTAAAAAGCAAAACGTAATACATCTGGGAAACTATTTCGCCCAGAAGAAGTGAAATGCTAAAAGCTTAGCAACTCCTATTCATTGAAGACATAGGGCTTAGCAGTGAACTATAGCCATAGCAGCGATTAAAATAGATCTTTTGGGTTGCAGTGATATTGATCTTTCTAGACCTGCATAGCTGCTTTCACAAAAAAGCTATGCAGTCTGAATAATAAGCATAAACACTCACGCCTGTCACCCAGAGGGGTAGGCAGAGACCACGGACTTCCATTTGACACGATCCTGACATACCTCTTTCGCCTCCTTTACATCCATATATCTACGCATACATGCTCGTCGGTTAAGGGTACTTTTAACGTAGCCCATTTTCAAAATATCGCCAATCGCAAACACAGAGCCTTGAGGAACACCGGCTTTGATTTGACGAGTAGAGGATAGCGTGCCTTCGTGTCTAAAACGAAAGGTACGATCCTTCAAATAGGAGGCTACAAGGCGGACGAGGCGGTCAGGGAGGCCTAAGTCGTACAATTTGTAGATAAGGCCCTCTTTTGACGACGAGGATAAAAACCGCTGAGGATATATTCCACTATGCGGTGAACTCAATGCAATGCAATGCAATATGGCAATTCCACTGGTGTTGCGGTTGATCATGGGCTGCGGTAGTCACTTAACATCAGGTGAGCCGCATGCTCGTTTGCACCCTCTTCTATAAAAAAAAGAACTTGTTGGGGGCACGAGTGTTTGGCTCGAAACCCGAATTGTTGAGGGATGACAAGAGGGTCGCCGTCTGTGGGAAACAAATGGCGCCTCATGCGCACGAGAATAACTCGTTCGAAAAGTTTGCCCATGGCGTTGAGGAGGCTGATGGGACGGTGATTGGAGGGGAGCTGGTGAGGCTTGCCTGGCTTGGGAATGCCAATGACAGTTGCCTCTTTCCAAGAGGTGGGAAAGTAGCTGAATTCGAAGCAGGCGTTGAAGATTATGGCCAAAAAGGCGATAACCTGCTCCGGAAAGTGTTTGAGGGCTTGGTTGGAGATGCCATTCGCGCCCGGAGCTATTTTGGGCTTAAGTCCTTTGATGGTAGATGAAATCTCATCTTTGGACACAGTGATAGGGTCAGAGGCGGTGAGGGGCGAGTTCCGGCGACGGACCTCGTCCTCCACTAGTTGGATATATAGTTGGGTCAGTGGGTTGTGAGCTGGGAGAGCATTAAGCGGCGACGCTGTCGGCGAAGCACTCAGCCTTTTCTTCGTCCTCGAAGGCAATAGACCCGTCGGGACGAGATAGAGGGGGAGTATGCGTGATAGCGTCTATCCGGAGGGTTCTCGCCATCTGATAGTACGCTGTGTGAGAGGGGGAGATTTTCTCCATAAGATTGCTCCTTTCGCGGTCTCCGAAATCTTTGAGGCGGTAACGGAGTTTGGGTTGAAGGCGGTGGGCCGCGAGTATATACTCGGGAGTGGGATAGCGTGCGGCGCTACGGAGGGCAGCTTTTTTGGCTTTGAGCAGGGTGCTAATATCTAGGGGAAGACTAATTTTAGCAACCGGGACAACCTTTTCATTCTCTTTAAGAGAGGATGTTATAAGAGAGGTGAGATTTTCGACCGCGGTGTCTATTTTCCCCGTACTGTCGAGGACGTTGGAAGAGAGGGTTATGAGAGGGTCTGGAGAGTCCATATCTGAGGCTAGAGACTTCTTGAAGCCTTCCAGTTGGTGTAGGTTTTGAAGTGGGAGTTGGAGGTGGCTGATGGCCAAGAAGAAGGGATACAGGACGGTGGTCGGATCCTAGATCATCGAGAGACTCGATTGCTCTAAAGTTGAGGGAGACTCCTTTAACTAGAGCAAAGTCTAGCACGTCAGGAGCGTAGTTAACGTAGTCGGGATAGTGGGTGACAGCGAGGGGGCTGTAGACAGTCAGAGACTGAGTGATATTTAGCAACACCCTGCCACTACTAGTAGTAGTGCAGCAGGTCCATTCAGTATGCTTGGAGTTAAAATCTCCAAACATAATGACTGAGTCGCCTAGTGCAAGGATAGCCTCGAAATCACTCTTAATGGGGAGGATTCCGCTAGGGATATAGCAAGAAGCTACAATGATAGACTGGTGTTCAGTCATGGCCAATCTAGTGATAGTGGCTTCCATACTGGTAAGCGTCGGAGTGGGGATGTGGGAGCAATGAAGGGACTTTTTGTAATAAATGGCAGTACCGCCGCCTTTGCGGTCGGGTCTGTCATTACGAAGAAGTGAATAACTTTTGATAGAGAGGCCTTTAGAGACCTTATGGCTAAGGTGGGTCTCCTGAAGGAGAAGGAGGTCGGCTTCGCGATTTGAAGAGCCTAAGCACTGGGAGGTTATTTCGCAAACCGCGGATATTGAACGAAACAAGCGACAAACCCTTTGGTTTGATACGACCGTACGATATTGCGGGAGCAGAGGGCTCCAGCATAGTGTCTTTACAACGACCTTAGTAGATCGATGTGCTCAGCAAGAGCAAGGAGACGGTCCTGAGAGAACTGAGCAGCGTGCAGTTTACGCGCAAGGATAGTGATTTCCCCTATATTGATCTTATTCATAGTGTTAGACACTAGGCTTAGATCATCTGCTATAGGGTCTGCCTGACTTTGTGGGTCGCCGGAGGACCGTGGGATATATGTTGCCTTTGGGAACCAAGGGTTTATTGGGAGCGGCGCAGGCTGGGAGAGACGAAGGGTCATAAGGGGCCGAGGAGGGCCCTGAGGTGGCCGACAGATGCCCTGTGTGGGCTGAGATGAGCCCTGAGGGGGCTGTGGTAGGGGCAGGCTCTGGCGGCTTCCAAGAGCCGGGAAAGTTCGGTCATTGACCTGAGGTGGAGCTTTGTAGCTCATAATTAGGCGAGGAGCGCGAGGGCAGCCTCTAAAATTTACCGGGTGGCCTGTTTGTCCGCATAGGACACATGCGGGTGGGGATTCGGCATTTTTGGGCCGAGGGCACTCTTTCGAGTGATGGGCACTTAACGCACCTGGGTGGGGCTGAGCAGTTGGCTGCTGCGTGCTCATAAAGTTGGCAGCGGTGGCACTGCGCTGGGTAACCGCGCCGGTGTGGGGCTTCGACCCTTACACGCGACAGGCCGCACACAGTGCGTACCTCGCGGAAGATGGCCTTCGCCTCCGGCACGTTTGAGAGTACGAGTAGGGCGAGGTTGAACCTCTCGCCCCTGCTGCTGTGCATCTTGTGCACAGCCTCGACAGGGAAGCCCTGGGACTTTAAATCATCTAAGATGTCCTCGTTTGCGAGTTCGTGAGGAACTCCGCGGAGGACTGCTTTTATTTTTCTTTCTTCGGCGAGAGTGTACGTGTGATAGGACACGCGCTCGGCCGTGAAGTGACGAGTAATGTTCCGGAAGTCTTCTATAGACACCGGCATGATTTTGATGGCCTCGCCGACATTGGTGGCTTGGTCATATTTGAAACCCTTTTCGTAGAGGGTTTTTGACAGTTATTCGCCTTGTCTCTGAGAAAGACAGGGGGCGAGACTTGGTTTTTAGCCAATTTGGGAGCGCAGCGGGTTGCTGGCTTGGCAGTAGTGTCTTGCGACTGAGAGGGGGCAGCGTTTGGGGCTGCAGAGGTAGGGGCAACGATGGGGGCTGCGGAGGTTAAGGCAGCAGCGGGGGTGCGCGGACGGTGGCGGCGGCCGCCGAGGCGGGGGGAGTGCGGGAAGTCACGGCGCGCTTCGGGCCGCGCTTGGATTTGGCGCGTGAATTGGGCTGAATCGGTGACCGTTCCTTCGGAGTCGGATGACTCCGAGGAGCCGGTGGAGCTGTGGGCGGTCCTCTTCCGGGAGGAGGAGGTAACGGACGTGGTGTCCGAGTGCTCCATATCGGAGTCGGGGGACGCGGGCGAGTCGGTCTGCGGGGCAGCCGCTTGGGTCGCGAGGAAAGCCGCGTCGGCGGGCGGGGGGACGCATGCCTTAGGGGCAGGGGGAGCGAAGATATTACAGACTTGGCTGATGGTGTTCACGTCGACATCGTAGGCTATGCCTTGGGATTGGTAGAACTGAGCGATCGCGGCCGAAATGGCGCTTGCAAGACCATGTTTCATGTCTATGGTAGACATGTTGGTTTGGACAGGGGGGGAGGGGGGCTGACGTTTATTCAGGGAACACTTGCTCCGAGAAGAACGACGCCTTGTCCTTAAAAGGACAAGGAACGTTTTTTCCAGAACAATAACAATATGCAGGTAACAAATTATAACAATAAACAATAACAATAATAGAAAAAATAACAAGAAAAACAGTAACAGAATAGTAAGAAAAGAACAATAAAGGCACAGCGCGCTCAGACCTCCCCGCCGAAGCGAGGGGGCAAGAACGGTACGAATAAACAAGTGAGTCACCTACGGCGACTGCTCGGCCGGTGTGAGCCGGGGAGAGGGGGGCGTGCGAGCGAGAGGTTGCACTACCGCACGAGGACGGAGTGCGGACTGTATGCACTACCACTCGGTAGCGGTGCGCAAACGGAACTGCCCGATTGCGGCTTGCCTTTATATAGGGGTTTTCCACCGAAACATCCAGAATAATCCAGCAAATACCGGCCCCGAACGACCAAGTGCAGAAAGTTCGAGTGTGGGGCTTTCTAGAAAGCTTAGTTCTTCCATTCGATACTAGATGGCGCTAGTGGGAGAGTTCTAGAAAGATCTTGACGCTCTTATTTCTGCTGCTTGATACCAGATGGCGCTAATAATCAGCCGCCATATACCAGGCGCTAATTTTAGCGCGCAACAATATTCATCAAAAAGTGCCATAAAAGAGTAACTAACATTTAATTACCGTTTGTTAAAAGCAAGATGTGTGATTCAGTATGCATTTGGGATGTTAACTGCTAAGTTCAATATTTTTCATAAAACTATAAACCTAACTGCTGCAAAGGCTACAAAAGTGACAACTGCGAATTTATTACTTGCACAATTATTTACTTAAAAAAGAACTACACATTTATCTTTCGTCTAGTGGAAACAACCATAATAATGATGTATTCGAATCAATGCAACGTACGACACACACAAATGTGTATTAAATAGTGCTAAGATTCTGAGAGACAGATTTTGTCGTTATTATTAGGACAGTGTAATGTAAATTTTAACGAATTTAATGTATTCTCTAGCTATGTAAGTAATTTGTATTAGGTTAGGTTATACAGTATAGGTTAGTTATAAAGATAACGTAAGATTATGAAATAAATTTGAATATAATCTTATAAATCAATAAGAATAAAGTAAAATAAACGACTTACCATATTCACGGGTTTTTCATTTTTATTCAAGTTTCAATATTGTGAAATAAAATAATATAAAAAATACCCAACAAGCAGTGGCGTAGCTATGCAACCAAGGGCCCCGGGGCAAAAATAAAATTAGAGCCCTATTTGAACTAAACTCAAAACCTACTTTAAAGGTGCAAAACTAATTATTCCACAGCTCCTTACAGCCCACTGCCGGGCATAATAAAGCAAAGTTACTATATAGTATGTGTAAGGCGGTAGATACCTTTTAACTTTACGGGGTGATTAACTTGAAACTTATAAAGGTACTCTGTATATTACATGGTAGAGCCATGTTGAAGTTATATTATGGTTGTAGCACGAATGGGTCGCCTCAATCGGTGAAGGGCCACGCTCTCACAGAATACCAGGGTAAAGCCCAAACCGCAGAACGTAGAAGCATGAAAACATTACAACATAGTTTCATTATAAAATGGATGGATACGTACGTAATTAACTAAGATAAGATTTTGAAAAATTCAAACCCTTAGAGGGTGAAATAAGGTGTTAAAGTTTGTACGACACTTTATTTTACGGAGCGATCGACTGTTGAGAACTGTTATTTTTATTATTAGAGTATTAAATTAAACTAATACGTAGTTTTTCATTTTTCGAAAGAACGCCTTACCTACTTACTTTTTTTAAACTACACAACCAACTTCACTATCATTTAGAGATATTTTATGGAAGGTTAGTATGTACAATACATTCTAACCTGTTAGCTCGCGGGGCCCCGTAATATTGACACTCCCGTTCGCTCGCGACCTTAAAATGGCGGAAATCGGAAAATTTTCCCTAACTTACAAATTTTGCAATATTTTCACTTTGAGACAATATTTATGGATAAAACTTACTGGAATTCTTCTTGAATGTATAAAGTATCGAATCAAATAATTTTTAGATGTTAGATATTGTAATAAAATTCATAAATTACCCTTCAAACACATAGTACTAGTAGATACTTCACTTTTAGTCACGAAAATATTAATAAAATAATTTCTACACGTTTGTTTTTTGAGAAATCTATATGAAAATGTTTGGAAATATATATTTTTATGTTTTTATGTGTTTTTATTCGTAACCCATACGAAAAAAAAAAACAAATAAATATGAGTCAAACATAACCCTTGTTTTCCGAAATTCAATTTTTCATATGAACTTTGAAACACTATTTCTCTTATATTTTGTGTGAATTTGAAATAAATACAACACCAAATTATTTGAAATATGTAATATAATTATTTTTTATTTACGTTTTACAGTAAAAATAAATAAAAATGGAAAAATTTTTTAGTTTTTCACCATAAATCCACATATAACACACTCAAATATGTTTCGACACAAATGAAATATGTTTTGAATAGCTCATTTATATTGTTATTTACAATAAACATATACAATTCAATGCACAAAACACAAAAAACAACAAATAAAATAAATTTGAAGAAATGTATGGAGCAAATAGTGATGTGGCGACGCTGGTATATTTATCGATATTTTTTTTTGCAATGTAGTAGGCAATAATCAAATTCACCTGTTTGACTTTTTGTAATGATTTTATATTGAATTTACAATAAATTTATATTTTTACAATTTTTGAATGAATTTTTATAGAACCAGCATGGTGGCGATCACCACATTCCCAGTGGTTATTTTCAATTATGTATTCATTTATATTATAACAACCCTTTTTGTACAATTTTTTTTCCAAATAAAACATTCTTTCAGTCAACATTCATAGCCATTCACATCCTTCTTGAACCCGCTACTGAGGACGAGGAGGAGACCGGAGACTCTTTATACTGGAAATGAGGCATTCCGTCTTAGTCCTCACAGGTCGGGTTGGGATAGATGTAGATGTCTTAGGGCCAGTGCAACCATTTACCATCAGGTAAACTGTGTGCTCGAACACTTACCATCAGGTGGACTGAGTGCTCGTTTGTCACCCTTACCTATAAAAAAAGACGAGGAGGAAGAAAGACCGGAGACCATTTTTACTGGAAATGAGGCATTCCATCTTAGTCCTCACAGGTCAGGTTGGGAAAGATGTAGATGTCTAAGGGCCGCTGCAACCACTTACCATCAGGTGGACTGTGTGCTCGTTTGTCACCCTTGCCTATAATAAAAAAAAATTGTAGCACGAATGGGTCGGCTCGACCGGGGAAGTACTACGCTCTCACAGAATACAAGCTTTATACTGCTGAGGAAGAGGAGACCGGAGACCCTTTTTACTGGAAACGAGTCATTCCATCTTAGTACTCACAGGTCACGAGGGGATAGATGTAGATGTTTATGGGACACAGCAACCACTTACCATCAGGTGGACTGAGTGCTCGTTTGTCTAAAGGAACCGGAGACCCTTTGACCCTTTTTACTGGAAACGAGGCATTCCTCACGGGTCTATGAACCGCAGCAACCACTTACCATCAGGTGGACTGTTTGCTCGTTTGTAACCCTGTCATTACAATATCCAATTTCATACTCGGTAAATACATTTACTGAGTATGAAATTCGCGGAAGCACTTTGGTAGACAGAGCGGCAGTCCACATTCCTCACACTCATACACCGTCTTCGACCTTTTACGTTCTTTGTGCTGACACCACACGCAATAGCGTCGGCCGATATTCGTGCGGTGCTGCCCTGTACTCCGCATTTCATCGGTGATGGGTATGCGGCGAATGAAATGACGCTCTGTTAGCCTCCCTATTGGAAATACAGGGGGAATGCGCTGATCAATAGGTCCTGCTGGGCGAGGAACTAAAGGAAGGTGGCGCTTTATAATGCTATCAACCAACGCCAACCGAAACGCTACGGCATCGAGTTTAGTATTGGTTGATTTCTCAACAATGACCCTTGCGTTTTGAATAGAAATATTCAAAAGGCGTTTGAAAAGTTTCCGGTCCCATTTTAAACACTGTTTCCGCTCGACTAGATAGGCCTCCAGCATAGAGTCGAGGCGGTCTACTCCCCCCATGGCCCGATTATAATCTTTTATTATATTAAGCTTATACTCTGCAGGGTGGCCCGGACGTCCAGGAACTAACTCTTGCGAGACGCCATGGTATGTTGAGATACAAGTCACTCGCTTGCGATCTTGTAGTGCAACAACCATGACGTCGTCGGAAGCACGGGCAATAAATTGCCCTTCCTGTAAGGGTGCACGTTTTATAGCTTCTGGAACCCCTTTGCGAGTCGGCCGCAGGGTACCGACGCAGTCTGTGTTGCGTCGTTTTAGCCAACGCGCCAGGGAGGGGGAATTAAACCAGTTGTCCATAAATAGCGTGTGCCCCAGGTTGAGGAGAGGTTGAATCAGCCTCAACACTGTGGACACGCTGGATGGTAACCCCGTCCCTGTCGTGCGGCCCGCATACACAAAAAACGACCAAAGGTATCCTGTGGCCGACTCGCACAGTTCGTAGGTTTTTATACCAAACCGAGCTGCCTTGGTCTTTATGTATTGCTGAAAGCTAACTGGCCCTTTCCAAAGAGTTAGCGATTCATCAATACATATATTCCGGTCCAGCTGGTATAACTCCTGGAACTTGGCATTCAGGTGGTCGAGAATGGGACCCATTGGGTGCAGCGGATTATTTGGGTCAGTCCCATCGGCCAAATGAAATGCCGCATTAAGGTTCCAGTAGCGGAACTCTAAAAAGAGGGTGCGAAATATGTCGGTCTTCAGTAGAGGGTTCCTCGTAAAACAAGATTTAATACTTGGCATTCTAATAATGCCAAGCATAATCCAGAATGCGAATAACGTCCAAATTTCATGTAAATTGGTTTCAAACCAATCTCTCATGAACCTTGGACGCTGCTGTGCCAGAACCGACTCTGCATACTGGTTCGATTTCTCAACAATATGGGCCATGATGTCATCTGTCCAGATGGCATGCATGGCCTCATAAGGATCTCGAATCGAGACGGTAGGCCCAGTCGTTTCTGGTACAAAATCGCATTGCCTGCCATTCCACTCGTTCATCCCTCGCCACACAAATCTTTCATTTTCATTCCATTCCTCCCTCTCATTGTCCTCTTCCACATTTGCAGGTATTCTTCTCCTTTCACACCTCTCCCTCCTAATTAAATAATCACGGATTTGCCCCTGAATATCCAAGGGCAAATCCGTGTCTTCCAAAAAAATGTGTTCCAGAGCTGCTCCACGCATCCAACCCTCGCTTCGGCCACGGCCACGTCCGCGACCACGCCCGCGTACGGATGCGGTCCCCCGACGTTGACGTGCCGCCACCGGGTCCATCACTTCCACCCTGAAGCGGGGTACGGGGCCTGGAGCAGGCTCTGGAGCAGGCACATTCTGTTGAAAAATGAACACGGTTTTATTGTGCTGCAAACATATATATATATATATATATATATATATATATATATATATATTTAACACAAATAAATACTAGCTGAAACATTGAAAATTATTAAAATATAAAAATTACATGACTGATGTTATATATAAATATTACTTACAAGTACATGCACTTCTCCAGGCACCTCTGGAGCAGGCGGAGCAGGCACATCCTGTTGAAAAATGAACACGGTTTTATTGTGCTGCAAACATATATATATATATATATATATATATATATATATATATATATATGTATGTATGTATAAATACAAATAAATATAGTGAAACACTGAAAATTAAAAAAAAAATTAAAATATAAAAAATTACATGACTGATGTTATATATAAATATTACTTACAAGTACATGCACTTCTCCAGGCACCTCTGGAGCAGGCTCTGGAGCAGGCACATCCTGTTGAAAAATGAACACGGTTTTATTGTGCTGCAAAAATTTAGTTCAATAGGAAATAGCTAACACTATGAGTGTGAACATTTGAAGTTGTTTGAATTTTTCAACGCTCAATCATAATAAAATAAAAATTAAGAAAAATTTAAATAGAAACATTACATGACTGATGTTATATATAATTATTACTTACAAGTACATGCACTTCTCGAGACACCTCTTCTGTTGGGCATTGCGGAGACCCACCGGCTCTCTCCGTACCCACAGGAATATTCTGTTGAAAAATGAACACGGTTTTATTGTGCTGAAAACATTTATTATTATATATATATATATAAATATATAGCTGAAACATTGTTTTGCCATACACATTATTCCTAATAAATGTTTTGTTAGTTCAATAGGAAATAGCTAACACTATGAGTGTGAAAATTTGAAGTTGTTTGAATTTTTCAACGCTCAATCATAATAAAATAAAAATTAAGAAAAAATAAAATAGAAACGTTACATGACTGATGTTATATATAAATATTACTTACAAGTACATGTACTTCTTCAGACACCTCTTCTGTTGGGCATTGCGGAGACCCACTGGCTTTCTCCGTACCCACAGGAATATTCTGTTGAAAAATGAACACAGTTTTATTGTGCTGAAAACATTTATATATATATATAATAACACAAATAAATACTAGCTGAAACATTGTTTTGCCATACACATTATTCCTAATAAATGTTTTATTAGTTCAATAGGAAATAGATAACACTATGAGTGTGAAAATTTGAAGTTGTTTGAATTTTTCAACGCTCAATCATAATAAAATAAAAATTAAGAAAAATTAAAATAGAAACGTTACATGACTGATGTCATATATAAATATTACTTACAAGTACATGCACTTCTTCCGGTATGTAAAAGAGAGACCCATCGGGTTCCGCAATGCACACCGGCATGTTCTGTTGAAAAATGAACATGTTTTTATCCGAATGTTTCTATTTATCTATATGACTGATGTTATACATAATATTACTTACAAATATCTCCTCTGCATCATATTCTTCTACCAGTTCCCCATGGTCTTCATCGATATCCAGTTCTTCTTCTTTGTCGAGAAGGACATCGATGAACTCCTGGGGAACTGGCTTACTTCCGGGGTTCCACATGAAAACTGAAAACGAAAATAATAATTGTTACATACTGTTACGCGCTCCAGTCAACGATACACTAGCGCCATCTAGTGTCAGGAACGAGAGCGAGGGGAGCATTGAGAAAATGACATCACAAATCACTCAACCGACAGCGCCTAGTCGAAACTCGAACGCTCGGTACCTTGCGCGTGTTTACTTGAACATTCTGGATATTTCTTTGCTAATTTATATAACTAGGCGCTGCAAGATGCGATCGGGAATAGTGTTGATTTGGCGAAACAAGCGAAGCTTCGGAGCGGAATTAAGTGAATTAGTGTGTTTAATTATTAGTGTTTTTAACTTTAACTTTTTCTTAACGTGAAGAAAACGCTGGACGACCTCAAACTGGATGATGGAACTACAGCTCCCGTAGTAGCTACTACACCTTCGCTACGTGGGTTCAAAGTGCCACCGTTCGACGGGACTTCTTCCTGGTCAGCCTACAAAATCCAGTTTGAGGCTGTTATGAAGGCGAACGGCTGGAATAAAAATCAGGCCATGACTGCTCTCACACTAGGCCTGCGTGACCAGGCCTTAACAGTTCTGGAAGCTCTCGGTGAGGAAGTGACTTATGAGCAACTCCTTGAGGCATTGGAGGCGAGATATGGCGACGCTCACCTGGAACACGTCTTTCGTGCGCAGCTTAAAGATCGTGTGCAGCGCATCAACGAAAACCTGCAGCAGTGGGCTCTAGAAGTGGAGAAGCTGGTGCAAAAGCATACCGGTCTGTACCTGCGCTCATTGAAGGGAACCTGGTGCAGACATTTATCGACGGCATCCGCGACCTGGAAGTCAGAGCTGCTGTGAGGCTCGGGCACCACGAGACGCTTAAGGACGCCTTGGCCCATGCACTGGAAGTGGAAGCCGTGCGGCAGGATCATCGTTCCCATCGCGTCAGGGAGGTTGCAGCAGCTACAGTTCGCTACCATAACAAAGGATACAGCCCAAGGTGCTATGGCTGTGGGGGAAAAGAGCCATCTTCGAATCAGCTGCCCTAAGCGAACCATGGAAAGGAGAGTTGATCGATCTCGAGAGGGTAGTGTAGCTAACGACACTGCCTGGCGGCGACAGGATCATCGTTCACCTCACGCTAGGGAGGTTACAGCAGTTACGGTTCTGCGACCACAATAAAAGATACAGCCCTAGGTGCTATGGCTGTGGGGAAAGGGGCCATCTTCGGTCCAGCTGCCCTGAGCACACCCTACGAAGGGAAGGTGAACGGTCTCCGAAAGGAAGTGCGGCTAACAGCACCGCCCAGCAGCAGCAGGAATACGACTTTACTATCAGACACTGCAGCGGGAAATCTCACGGCAATGCAGATGCATTGTCAAGAAGACCTTGTCCTGAAGATTGCAACCATTGTAGTAGGCAAGAGAGTAAGGAGGTGGCATCCGTGAGGATGCTCAGGACAGACCACCTCAGCAACGGGTGGAAGGACATCCTACGACATGCACAGCAGGAAGATCCGGACATCAAGCCGATTCTGGGATGGATGAAGGCCCGTGCTACCAAGCCTAAGTGAAGGGACGTCTCAGCGATGAGTTCAACCACGAAAAGCTATTGGGCCCAATGGGACAGCTTGCTGATTCAGGATGGAGTCCTGTGCCGTAAATGGGACAATGGTCGAAGAGACAGCTGTCGTTTGTAAATGGTTGTCCCTAAAGCTAAAGTGCCGAATGTTCTACAGTTGTGCCATAATGGTCGTTCAATAGTCCATCTGGGAGTTAAACGAACTCTACTGAAGGTGCGAGAACAGTTTTACTGGGTCCATTATCGTGACGATGTCGAGGATTGGTGTCGTACATGTACAAGTTGTGCGGCCGAGCGGGGACCTCGGACACGTAGTAGAGGAGCACCGAAATTGTACAATGTTGGTGCACCACGGGATAGGACAGCCCTTGACATTGCGGAGCCGTTACAGAAAGGCGCAAGAGGGACTCCTAAGGTCGTCCATGTGAATCGCTTGGCGCGTTATTATGGGGCCGATAATGCTCGGGACGAGCATGGAGCATGGAGGGGGCAGTGTTACGCGCTCCAGTCAACGATACACTAGCGCCATCTAGTGTCAGGAACGAGAGCGAGGGGAGCATTGAGAAAATGACATCACAAATCACTCAACCGACAGCGCCTAGTCGAAACTCGAACGCTCGGTACCTTGCGCGTGTTTACTTGAACATTCTGGATTTTTCTTTGCTAATTTATATAACTAGGCGCTGCAAGATGCGATCAGGAGTAGTGTTGATTTGGCGAAACAAGCGAAGCTTCGGAGCGGAATTAAGTGAATTAGTGTGTTTAATTATTAGTGTTTTTAACTTTAATTTGTGTAAAGTAAATTAAAGTGTTAATTTAGGTAATTTTATCGGCAATTTTTATTGTCACGAACCTCAAGCTCGTAACAATACCAACAGATTTACTCTACTATGTAATGATTATCCCTATCATATATAATATCATATTATATTATAATATATATGATATGATATGGATAATATACATTCTGTAGGGATAGTATATAGACAATAGGTCATATTATATTATTTTATATCAACAGAAATTGCTATATACATATTTGATTGATTTGAAAAATGAAATAAAAAACTGATAAATACTTCCTATGATATTACCACCATATAAATCTATCTGTATCGATAGCCTGATCGATGAAATTCTTGCAATCACTGCAAATAATTGTAAAAATATGGCGAAATATTTGAATTGTTATACAGGTATTGGGCCGTTTATGAACAATTTTGTAGGTTATGATTGCATTGTGATAGGAAAAATGAACAAAATCTTGAAGAGTACGAAATTATCTCGTAATTTCATTAGAATTTTACCGTTTTCACTTAGATTTATCCGTAAATATAGACATTTATATTTACTACTTTGTCTGTACTTTTCTACATCATTTCGATTTCGAAATATTTTTAGCGTTTATTTTTCACTTTTATGCCACAAATTATATATCTACGGGTTTTTTACATTACAAGGAATACAAAAAAGTATAATACTTACGTTTTAATTCCAGAAATAAATTAAAAATTGACGACAAAGTTGCAACAATGCAACACGTGGAACGCCGGAAGAATAGAGTGATTTATTTTTAGTTTTTTCTTAGTAACATTGCCAGGCAAAGATATGAAGTCATAGAGCCTATCTTTGTCTTTGCTTCTATTATATATTACATATTGTTTTTGGTTTTTTTTTTAATTAAAAAAATTCTTTTTCAAAGGGTAGTACTTGTGGTACACATGTGTATCTTGATCGAGCGAGCGTAAGGTGTTTATGTCTGATACACATGTGTAGCTTGCTCTACTTTACAGGCGGCACAACCCTGTCCTTTACCTTCCTCCAGAGCACGTCATATGATGACTCATATGACGTGCTCTGGAGGAAGTTAGAGGACATCGATTCCAAGAAACATCATCAAACAACCACCAAGAGGAAGTAAAGCTGATCCAACTGTACTGAATCTAGACGGGAAACCACTAGAGGAGATCTTACACTTCAAATATCTTGGAAGCAATATCCGGCCTGACAATACCTTGGCTTCGGAGACACCATGACGTATTGCTAACTCCGCTGCCAGATTCGGGAGACTCAAATCGTTCGAGGAAGGCCACCTCAAAACTCTAGATCTTAAATACCAATTGCGCAAAGAGAAGTCTAAGCCCTCCTACGCCTATACTTACAACTCGTCTGGGCAACTCTACTATCACACATGCCAAAGGGTATTTACGGTTTAAGACTTTTATTTCTCAAAAGAATACTTCTCACTTATCATGAGAAATAACAAATAAGAAACCCCGTGACCATGGGTGCTGGAAAACGCCCGAAACGTCGGGAATAAAAAATAATGGTAATTAAAAGTAAAATAAACGCGATAAAATCCATAAAAGTAGTTTTAATCAATGTGTAGTGTTCGCGTAAATATAAGAAACCATTATGAGAAATAACAAGTTAATCATTAGATACTAAATACATGAGCTTACGAAGAACGGCAGTTACTTGTAAATGATCTGTTAAGTAATGAAAACGCAAATTGTGGGTAATAAAAAAAGTAGGTGTACAATAAAATATCGTTATTGAAAGGAAGTTTATAGCAATTATACATTGTTCATATTTGCAAGCAATGTACATGGTATGTTTATGTTAATGGTTATATTTTAAATAATTAACAGTAACAGTAGTAGAGCCTCGCGGCAGCTTTGCTGTTGCACGTATGGGCCGGCTCAAACCGGGGTGGTACCACGACCTCACAGAATACCGGCGTGAAGTAGAAGGTCTGCTTCCGCGTTTCGTCTGGTGAGTGCAGGTAGCCGGAGGCCCAAATCCCTCCCCCTCCCCCATCAACATAGTAGCGGAAGTAAATGTTAAACTACCCCAGGATAGTGCCAGCACCCCTGGAGAATCCCTCGCTGAGCATCCAAGACCAAGTTACTCCACTCCTGAGCGTGGGTGCTCAGCCTGCCCCGCGTATTCTGGGGGGGGGGGGCAAAATTCCGCTCAAGACTACAACTGCTCGGGGCAAACGTAGCAACAAGACCAAAGCGACCCCTGCCACGCTATCCGTGAATTTCTGCTATATCAGGGTACTTCACTCTAACCTAAACGCCGTACACTACGATCTCGCGACGGCGAGGCCGGCTCTGCTCTTTCTGACCGAGACCAGGTGTCCTCTTTAGCTGATGTCTCATATCTTTCCTACCCGGGGTACAAACTAGAACACTCCTTTGTGCCTCGGGATGGAGTTTGCGTTTACGTCAGAGAGGACATCTGTTCTCTACGCCTCGGCAGTCTTGAGGGTTCGGACCTGTCCATCATTTGGCTACGCGTAGACATCGACGACCATCCGCGCGTCTACGGGTGCCTCCATAGGTCCCATAGCGGTAATGCCGAAACAGACCGACTCTTCGACAGCAGATCCCCTCCGCAGAGATCGTGATCCTCGGTGATTTTAACGCCCATCACGCCGAATGGCTTGGTTCACATTTAACCGATCATGCGGGGAGATCTGTTCATGATTTTGCCTTGGCATATGATCTGACACTACTGGTTACTTCGCCTACGCAGATTCCATGTGGAGGAGCATGCACCTTCCCTGTTGTACCTTCTGCTGACCTCTCATCCGGATGGATATCAGATTTCTGTCGACGCCTCTTTAAGTTCCTCGGACCGTTGTCTTGTCTGGAGTGTGGTGCCACTCACGCTGAAATCGCAGTTGCATTCTGCAGGCTGCCGCCGTGTTTGGCACTATAGGTCTGCCGATTGGGATAGGATGCGGTCTTTCTTTGCATCCTACCCTTGGTAGGGTAGGGTTTGCTTCTCGCCGGACAATCCCAACGTTGTTGCGAATTCTGTCGTTGATGTGGTACTACATTGCCAAGGCAAAGTCAGAGCACATAGGCAAAATTGGCGAGAAACTAGTTCGCCTTCCTTCTGGAACCCGTGCATTCTGGTCTCTTGCCAAGACTGTCCAGGGGAATTTCTGTCAGCCATAGACCGTTACGACCGGAGAGGGACTCGGACAGATGGAACAGTAGGTATATCAGTGAAACAGGTACAGGGCTCAGTCCTTTTCCACACCCTTAGTCGCCTTTTACGATACACACAGGTAGGTATTGGGTGGTGCTATCTACTCCGCCGCACACCACACGGCAAGTAACGTTTGTTTTGTTTGTGTGTAAATGTTGATTTGAAATTAATGTTGCCCAAATGCAAGGACAAGACGAGACTTAGCCAGTTTTGGTCTTGGTGTTGCGCCAATACACCTGGTCTTGTTCTTGGTCTTGGTATTGCGCTCTCAGTCTTGTTATTGGTCTTGGTCTCGCAGCAAGAGTCTCGCAAGTCTCGCAATTACCTATTAGCCTATTGTTATTTATTAAACGTTACTTTAGATCTTAGAACAACTTAACAGAGTAGGCACATTTTGAGCTTGAATTAACATAGCCATAGAAAGATCAACCAAATTAATAAATGTCTAAACATTTAATGAGAAATTCGAAAAATCAACTAATACCGGGTGGGGTTTGAACCCACGACCTAAGCGATCCGTGCCGATGCTCTAACCAACTGAGCTGTCTACCAAGTCTCACGGCCACGGGAGTTAGTCTGTTTCTTAATAAATGTTTACATTTAATAAGCTTACATGTGCTAAAACTTAGTCAAAACATATAAAAAACATATTAATGACATTAACTTGACTGTATTATAAAGAACATTATCTGTTTAGAAAGAGATTGATAGACCCTTATATGAAATGGAATAAAAGAGTTATACAATTTACCATTTATTTAAATAAAAAAATAAAATACAATACAAATTAAATTACATAACAGTACACAACAGCTTTGACATTACTGTTATTTTATATTAATTCTTTTGACCAAGAATTAATACAAAGTAACCATCTGGCTGACTCATCACTTAACCTATTTCTATGTTTTCTAATTACTAATGATGCTTTAGAAGATAATCTCTCAGCAGGTACTGCAGTTGCAGGTATTGAAAGAAAATCACGGGCCATCTTCGATAAAGTCGGATATTCTGTCTCCTGCGTCCTCCACCACTCTAAAATGTCTTCCGAACTGGCGGCTCTGGGTTTACTTAGGTACTCCTCCAATTCGTCTATAACTAAGCCTTGATGAAAAGATCCAGATCCAGATGACGTCGAGGGACATGCATACAATTTCTCAAAGTCTATTACGTCTTCATCTTCATCATATTCACATACTTTCTTTTCATTTCTTGGTGATTCTAGAGATGTATTTACTGAATGTAGACTTTTATATTCTTTATAAAGTTCATTAATTTGCGCAGGCTTTCTGTTTTAATTTGCTTCCCCCATAATGTCACGTCAAAAGTCTGAGTCTTATGCCTTGGGTCTAAAATTAAAGAGGTACAATAAACCCAGTTGCTCTTTTTATAATGTTTAAGCATTTTATCTCGAGCTGCTTGAAAATCCATCCTTTCCTTCCATCCATCGAGCCTTTCATCCACTTCGGATCGATTAGGTTTCTCATCTAATTGTTTTACCATGGATTCAATTTTATCGAGCAAGAGATTGAATGATACAATGACTAGCGGTAATGTAACATATTTTTCTCCACGAAGTTTAGTTGATAGAAGTTTAAAGTTTATTAGAAACTTATTTATTTTTTCGAGTATTTGCCATTCACTATCTGTGATTTGAAAATCATTCAATTCGGTGACAGAAGTGCAGAATATGTTAATGCCAGTTCTCACTTTTAAACCAAATCCAATCATATCATGTGTGGAATTCCATCTCGTTGGACAGTCGAGTATGGGGTTTAGATTTGATGGCACGCCAGCTGCTTCACAAGCAGACTGAAACTTCCTCTTCAATATCTCACTTCTTTTTATTTTTTACTGGAAATACTGCGTAATTTTGTTATACCTGTACGTGAATCAGCAATATTTGGCGCATATTCTTCATATTCCTCAGTTTCGTCTTCATTATCTTCATACTGCTGTTCTTGTCCCTTATTGTCGGTTTCACTGTGTAATGCTAAGGTCTTTAATAAATCTTGTAAACCAAGGTTCAAAATGTGAGCAAAGCACCGGAAATGTTGATTGTCTGAATCAAAGTGTGGCAGCTGTTTGTCCAATTCACACACACACACACACACGTAGCATTATTGTTAAATTAAGTATATACGCGCAAATGGATTATATCGTATCATTACTGTTAAAATATGTATTCCAAGATAAAATACTTTTGTATTTGTTTAACTGGGAGGGAGACCTGATGACCTGAAATACAGGTTCGTCGCCTAGTTTAGGCATCAGTCTCTCACATTAATTTGTGCCTTTTTTTGTTAAAATTTGATATTGTTAATTTAATGTGGAGAGAAAAATAAATTATTATTATTATTATGGGGTATCTATATAGTTTTCTCATCTGGTTGGGTTCTATAAATATATAATTATAAATGAAAATGAAAAGATAAATATACATAAATATCAATAACATAAAATAAATATAAAAATACATAAATAAATAAAAGCCCAACCAGATGGAGGCCCTCGGCAGGGGAGACCAAACGGCCGAGGGTTAGGGGGAAAGGGAAAGAAACCGGCGGACGATGCGGGCGGTATCGAGGAGCACCGCCTTCTGCATTTGAGCCCGGAGCGGTCCGCCACGTAGTCCCAGTCGCCTCAGATGACCCGAGAAGCTGACTGGGATTAGCCCGTTTGCAGAGACGACTACAGGAATAATTTCGGTCAGCAGACCACCCACATATCGGTCACCTCGTGAGCCAGGTCCAGATATTTTGTTTGCTTGTCTGTTTCGGCTTTCACGAGGTTCTCGTCATACGGAGTGGTAATGTCGACCATAAATATCCTTGACTGTGCCCGGTCCATCAGCACAATATCAGGCTTATTCGCAAGAATAGTCCTGTCTGTGATGATGGCCCGGTCCCAATAGAGCCTGGCGCGATCATTTTCGAGCACGGCTTCCGGCAAGTACTTGTAATACGGCAATTTCCGATCCACGAGCCCGCATTTCAGAGCGAGCTCCTGGTGAAGAATTCTGGCTACTAGGTTGTGCCTGTGCAAGTACTCAGAGTTAGAAAGCGCCGAACAACCAGAGATGACATGCCTAAGTGACTCACCGGGATGGCGACAAGCTCGACAGATGTCCACGGTGCCATCCTTTAGGATGTATCTCCGATAGTTGTTGGTCTTAATAACCTGATCCTGTATTGCACAGACAAAACCCTCGGTTTCCCCGAAGAGATCACCAAAGCGTAGCCAGTGGAGGGAGGCTACTGTGTCTACGAAAGGCTCATGTAGAGCCTTGTAGAACCTCCCGTGGAGCTCCTTGTCCTTCCATACGGTCTCCCGTTCGGAAATGCTAAGCACTGCTGGGTCCTGCCATTGCTCGTTGGCTAAGGATAGAGGGGTAAGCCCTTTATCACTAGAAATGACGTCATTATAGAATGGATCATCCGATCTCGCCAGGAAGTAATCACGGATGCTGCACACTTCGCGATTATGCATGGTGAGTGCGCTCAGAAAACCACGTCCACCATGCTTTCGCGGCAAGTACAGCCTCATTACCGACGATCTCGGATGATGCATCCTATGGGACGTCATGGTAGTGCGGACTTTTCTATCCAGGGCGTTAAGTTCAGTCTGGGTCCACCTGAGTATGCCAAAGGTATACATGAGGACAGGCATGACCCAACCGTTATATGCGTGTGTCTTATTCACACCGGACAAAAGGCTGTTAAGTACTTTGGTCAAGCGTGCATAAAACACGTCGCAAACTGACTGTTTCATACCAGCCTCATTGATACCGATGTTCTGTGACATACCCAGGTATCGGTATGTTTCAGCCTCGGAAAGGGTCCTTAAGTTGACGGGCATAGATAAGTCTATGCCCTCAGAGTTAGCAACCCTTCCCCTTTCAACATGGAGGACCGCACACTTATCCGTTCCCAGCTCCATTCCAATAGAACTGCTAAATTCACAAGTGATGTTTAGCAGTTCCATAAGATGGGAGCGACTGGAGGCGAATAACTTGAGGTCATCCATATAGAAAAGGTGGGTCACTTTTGTACCTCCTTTCCCAAGCTGAAATCCCCTCCCGGAGCCCTCCAGTAAAGTACTGAGAGGGTTCGGGGAGAGGCAAAACCAGATTGGACTCAGACAATCGCCCTGGAAGATACCCCTTCTTATCCTTATGTGGTTCTCCGCAGCCATCATCCGCTCGCCCAGATAGCAAAGGATCGTACTCCATTGCCCCATACACTGCTCGAGGAAGTCTCCAACTGTAGAGTCAATTTTGTACAGCTGGAGGACTCTCTTTAGCCATGTATGGGGCACCGAGTCGAATGCCTTTCTGTAGTCTATCCAGGCGGCGGAGAAATTCCAACGGTTGCGTTTCACCACTTTGCCAATGACCGCGTCAATGAGGAGTGGTTCCTTCGTTCCACGACCACCGCCCCGGCAACCATTTTGAGCGCGTGACATCACCTGATTTGAGTCCAGGTGACAAGTGATTCTCGCGCTCAAAATGGATGTCAGTGTCTTGTATATGGTCGGTAGACACGTGATGGGGCGGTATTTGCTCGGGTCTGTGGTACCCTGGTCTTTAGGAACCAAATGAGTGATCCCAGTAGTGAAGAGGCTTGGGAGCGACTTCTGGTTGAGAGCCTCTTGAAACTGTCGGGCGAGCACAGAGTGACACACCATGAACCCCTTCAGCCAGTAGTGATGCAGCCCGTCGAGCCCCGGACTTTTCCAGTTCGGGGCCCTACGGACCGCCTCAGCTACGTCATCCGGCTTTATGATGATGGGGTCCATGGGCGTAATACCCGCACACTGACTCGCCACAACTTCCGTCCAAGGGCCCTCGCTGTGGTTTACGGGCTCTGACCACAGGCCGCGCCAGAATGCTACAGTGTCGGCCTGATTCGGTTGCTGGACCCGTTCCACTTACCATTGGTCGCTCCAATGATTCATAGAGCCTCTTCTGATCACTCTGGAAGAGACGATTCTGGTTGAACCGTGTCGACCTCTCGGTATATCGCCGAATCCGTTTTCCCCAAGCAGCTATTCTCTGCTTCAGATCATCTATGCGCTCCGTCAGTTTTTGCGTTATATCCGGCTGGGACAAACTGATATTTGTCCCAGCAAACGCTATCCTGACGGTGCGCACAATTCTCGGCCTGTTGTTGCCTGATCTGAAGCATATCAGTCTGCCGATGAGACCTCTAGCCTTTGCGATACGTTCCTCAATTCTTCTTCTCCAGGCTGGGATAGCGCTACTATGGCCAGTAGCGCGTCCAGCCGTGGAAACCTTGGCGCCTATGATACGGCAAACTGCCAGCGCGGCGCCAAAAAGAATTGAGTCCGTCTCGCAAAGGTCCCGGCTGGCTTCCAAATAGGTCACCAGCTTTGGGTTCAGCGCCCTCACGACAGCCCGATTCCGCTTGCTTAGGGCTATGCGGGGAAGTCGCGGTCGATTTTCGAGAGGCGTACTGCGCGTTCACAATCGCCTCTTCCAATGTACTCCTCATATGCTCTAATTCCAGTTCCTGGGCGACTGTTCCATCATCGTTTGAATCAACCACAACTGGGGTATTCACGGCGGCATCCACGTTTGCGGGTTGCGCTCTACCATTTGTGGCGCCGCATCCTCAGCCGTAGCATTCTCATCCGACGAGGGAACAGCCTCACGTCGTAGCCGTTCGAGTTCGGCGACATCAAATGTATTTGAGCGCAAGATATACCGAACTCGGTCTGCCAGGTTTTGCTCTGTGACGGTTAAAGATGGCTCCAGTTCAGCAAAAAGACGATGCATCCTAGCCCGATACGCCAAACATCCAGTTTCTCCCCCTTTCGCCCCAAAATACGCCCGCAATGCGTTGCTGTTCATCTGGGTTGTCCAACGCATGCGGCGTACTCCACCAGAGGCGGGTGCCGATTGCTGGGCCCGCGAAGACCCTGCCGACACCAAGCCAGCTGGTGGGGATGATGGATGCGAGGGGCTGCTGGGTGGTCGTGCAGCACCTCGCGCTCGGCTGGCGGTTTGCATGCTGCCGCGTCCAGCGCCAGCTCCAGACGCGCCCTGGCGACCTCCAGGCAGCGGCCCTTTGCGCGTTCTTCCGTATTCCATCATCCATAGTGGTGGGCGTCATTTAGCGGGAGACGCCCAGACCCGGCGCCGTTTCATGGTGAGGCCATGTGCACAAGCGGGCCTTTGCACCTTCAATTTTTGCCGAGGCACGGCACTAACACCTCTTGGCAAGGTGCTGACTGACTGCGCTGACGTAGCGGTTTTGTCACATAACCGTTACGTCAGCGGGCGATGGGGTCGTCAATTCCCTACGCCATATTATTATTATTATTATTATTATAATGATTAAAAACATAACATTGTCAAGGCGGTTGAAGATCATGTCACTTTGGTTATCTTTACATTTATTATATTACGATATTAGTATTTGGACAGGAAATAAATTGATGGAAAAGATGTATCTACAAAAAAAAATCATACATAAATTTGATATTTGCAGTTGCGTTGTCGACCGTGATATACACTGTATTTTATTCAATTATGTCATATTCCAATAAACATTCGTGGAAAATCGTTGCAATATCTTCCCCAGTATGTCTACCGCGTGATGGTATAAAATCAAGGACTACAGATCGATACTTCCATTCGTTGTCTATATAATGAATAGTGACCTCGTAGTAACTCTTATCAGCAATTGACGTCCATCCATCAATGGTAAATGACATTTTAGATGAAAATTGTTGTAGTCGTTTCTTAAGATGCAATTGAAGCTCTTCAAACCGTTCTTTGACCTTCCTTCTAAGTGTGGACCTTTTAGGAAACAACATATTTGGGTAAATTGATCGAAAATATATTTGTGTAGCTTCATCATCGAAAAATGAGAAAAAAAGATATTTTTAAACCATCCAATCAACTGTAGCTGCCGTGATGTTGTCACTGCTATTTTCAGACTAAAATAAAACAGTAAATCATGTGTCTCGCCGATTATAAAAACAAATGAAAATATGAGTGAATTATAAATACATATTTAACACAATAATCTATATATATATATATATATATATATATATATATATATATATATATATATATATATATATATATATATATACAAACTTGAAGTTTGTAAGGTAGGTTCCTTTTATGGCATAGAGATCAGTTAAGAAACGGTTTTGAGAAAATCTATCCCTAAGGGAGTGAAATGGGAGTTGGAAGTTTGTATGAAAGTCCTACGTTTTTGAAGTTAGAGACACGAAAATCGGCATTAAAGTTATTAGTTTTCAATAATAAAATCCTGAATAAGCTGTTTTACGAAATCCTAACCCTAAGGGGATAAAATTGGGGTAAAATGGTTACATGCAAGTCCTATATTTTTAAAGTATAGATATGAAGATCGACATTTACTTTATTAGTTTTAAATAATAAATACTTGCATAGTTAAGCTTTACCTATATAGCCTCTTTATACTTAGGTAAGACTTTTGCAGCGAGAAAATTTCAAAATCTCACAGGAAATCAGATATTGTACGCGGACGAAGTCGCAGGCTGCCGCTAGTTACATAATATATGTGTTATGTAATTGTGTGATAAGTATATTTTTTCGTACCTGTCCACTTTTTCCGGTGGTTATTAAAAAGCTTGTGATATCTCCACTTAATTTTGGTTTTTCAGGAAGAAATATTTGTGATTCCTTTTTGTGGAAAGAATCTTCCTTAAGCCTGAAGTGTTTCTGTTTTCCATTTTTATTTCAACCTTTTTATGTTGGCATAATTTACACAAAACAATTAAAGATACATGAATTATGTCGAAAAACTCATCAAATTTACTTTTAGGTCTTTTAGATCTATAACTCCAACTCTCACTACTCCGACTAGAACTATTCGACTCTTCGTCACTCATGTCAAATTGTAAACTTATCACTCCGAGAAAAACAAGGATTAGAGTAAAAACAATTAATACATTAGATTCGAAGCAAAGCTCTATTGGGAATTACTGGAATTAAAATAAATACTACTATTTGTAAGTACACGCCGAAAGACCGACAAAGGAAAGTTCGGCATCTTTTGATAAAATTAATGATTCTTCAGAAGATTAATAAAGAAGGGGGATCGAAAAATAATATTATGTTCTTCTTGTGATTGAATTAATCTACGTTAATTAAATTAAATTTGCCTTCACTCGTGTGAAATTCAAAATTCAAATATGCATTCAAGTAGGCATTAAAAATACACTTTTGAATAGTCATATAATCACTGTTTTCCCCAATTTTTTCTTTTCCATGTCCAGGGGTTCTGATTCTACTGAGAAGAATCATGGAAGAAAGTAAGAAACTCAGTAGTTGCTCTTTTCAAAATATTTTTACAATAGTTCTATACATTGATTAAAACTACTTTTACGGATTTTATCGCGTTTTATTTATATTAATTTTAATACCCGACGTTTCGGGTGCTTTCCAGCACCATTGGGTTTAGTTTTAATTTTATTAATTATAGGATCCCAAGCAGGTGGTAGTACCCAGCCTCCTCCTCTATTGAAATTAGGATGTTTTTTAATTTCAATAGCCTCACGTATCATCCTTGGTAGGAATCGATGTTCTTTCGCGAGGATTTGTGGTCTATCAAATCTGATGTAATGGTTGGGGCCATCTAGAATATGATCGCAAACTGCAGACTTCCCGGAACGTTGATGCTTCACGTCAGTCAACCCGAAGCTTGTTGTCGTGCAGAACCTGCTTGACGTGCTGAAGCTCTGCGGCCAGGTTTTAGCTGTCACAGATCCCTCGTGCTCTCTGAAACAAAGATTTGCCCACGGTAGCTAACTGTGAAGGATGATGGTGAGATTCACCATTTAAGTATCGGTTTGTATGGGTCTTTTTTCTATACACAGTATGACCTATGGTGTTGTTAGAATTTCGGATGATTAACACATCTAGGAAAGCTAAGGAATTATTTGCCTCTAACTCCATAGTAAATTGAATTTTAGGGTTAATGGAATTAAGATGTTCTAAAAATGCAGTTACTTTGTCTGATGGTAAAAGTATCGTCTACGTACCGCTTGTAGAACCTTGGTTTAACAGGTGCAGTAAGGAGGGCTTTCTCCTCAGTCTTCCATGAATATATCGGCGACAATGGGAGATACAGGTGAGCCCATCGCAACACCATCTAATTGCTTGTAAAACTCTTCCTTCCACAATAGATAGCCAGATAGAATAGTTCTATAATTATGTAAAGCGATAAATCAAACATAAAATGTCAAATGTATATGTTCATTTTTAAAACTGGAATTTTCCTTGCTGAATTTGTGGTATCGGCAATATTAACTAGGCAGTTTTAGTATTTCTACAATAGGTAGCAAAAAAATTATTATATTATATATAATATACATTATCCAGGGAAATAACAAAGGAATACATTTGAATGAAGTAAATACCGCCCGGATATCACCTTAATTCAATCAGTCGGCCAGTCAATTAGGCTGTATGGGCATAGATTTCTATGCCTAAAAATATAAGGCAACATTTTCGCCAATTTTCGCGCCATAAACCCTGTCACTCTGTCGTCTGTCGGTGTCATTGTCGCTGACTGTCGCACAAATTTTACAAATATAATAATAGAAAATATTAAATTAAGATTCGGTTTCAGTATCTCTATCTGATCTGTGAATAAGAGTAAAGAAGTGATTATACAAGGACGACACAAGAGACTGAATTCTTTTACGAGCACCATTTTAGCACCAATTTCAAGTGAAATGTTTTGATTTTATTTTAAGAATTCCAATTAAAATGCATGTAAGAGTAAGAACTGTTAGTAAGCCTGATACTATAGTTGTGGTAGAATCAAAGCTGACTAAGATAGAACAATTCCGAAAGATTGTAAAGGAAAAGTTTGATGTTGATCCGAAAGTGCAACGGTTATTCTATGGCGGGAAGCTGGTAATGAATATTTCTTTTTATTTTAATTTATAATATAGAATATTTTGTTACTGAAATATTAAAAACATAAATATTTTATTTGTCGGGACTACGAGACTAAAATTCTTTTATTGCTGCGACTTATTGCTAAGCCACTTTGCCACAGATCCGTCGTTTTGGTCTTTACTGTGTTCATAGGATGAATAGGATATTTTAACCACACAGCCAATTAATTCTTATTTTTCGTACACCTCCATTAGTCTGTGGACAATTAACTAATTCTGCCTTTACATCATAGAAATAGAAAGCAGTTATTGCTATATTTGCTAGGTGCAAGTCTGTATTATATGCATCTAACATAAGCAATAACATCTTTTTAGTTTTTCTGTCAACTTTTGATAACCACGTCTGAGACGGTGTGATAACTATTGTGACCACCAAAAATTATTATAAGTTACCACCTATCATGTTTGTCCACATGTTAATAATTATATTTTGGTGTTAGGTTGTGAATAATTATTATGTTATTATTATTTTCTACTAGTGATCCACCCTGGCATCGAATCTCGACTAGAACTACCTACCGGTTTCAATTGTGAATCTAAGCCTTCCCGATACACACCCAAACAAACCCAAAAAACATCAAAATCGGTCACACCGTTTATGAGTTAGCAAGCCTAATGGACAGAAATTGATTTTTATATATTATGGAGAGAATAAAACTGAGTTACAAACACACTTCCAATCCATCTGATGACGATTGGCTACTGCAGTCCATAAACTGTTGCTGCTAACTTTAAACACAGAAGGCTACGGATACATTGTCACCTCTTGTGGCGGCGCTGTCGTCGCGCCGCAAGCGAAACACACCAAAG